CTGAGAGCCCTGGTGCTGTGCACCTAGAGAAGGTTGAGAGGGATTTGATCAGTTCTGATCAGTATGTGAAGGGTGGGGATCAAATGGATGGGGCCAGGCTCTTCTCACCACTGCCCAATGATAGAACAAAGGGCAATGGGCATAAACTGGAACATAGGAAATTCCATATGAATGTGAGAAAGAACTTCACTGTGAGGGTGACAGCACTGGCACAGGTTGTCCAAAGAGGTGGTGAAATCTCCTTCTCTGGAGATATTCAAGACCCATCTGGACACCAACCCATGCAACCTCCTTAAGGGAATTGCTTTACAGAGGGTTGGACTGAGGATCTCCAGAGGTCCCTTCCAACACCTACAGTTCTGTGATTCTAATATTCTATATTGGCCAAAATATAATTGCTCCAACTGGCACAAATGTAGCTGGAAACAGAAAGTGCAAAAAAACTTGTTGATGTCATTCCCCTGGGCTGTGGAGCACTTTGAAATCCATTTATCTATCATTAATAGATCAGTTATCATATTAATTGGTAAAAACTCTGCTGGATCTTGGGCAAAAAAGTCAATTCACAAAGGCTGATGATCCATACCCTTCTTGTTACTTTTGAAGAGGACTGGGAACCCAGTTGTGCTCTGAGTAAAGCAATTAAGGAGCTGCTCTATGGAAGTTTTTCCTACTTGCCATTGATGGTGGAGAAAATCCAAGGAGAATTCATTTTTACAGGTGTAATCTCTAATTATCAGCCAAATCACTTCCTGCCCACTTCTGTCATTTAGTAAATAGAACTAATTATGTGGTTGCCACACTTGGTTCTTTTGTTTCTGTGATGAACAGATGCTGAGAAGGAGGAGGTGGACACCAAATACAACATGTGAATTTATCTGCTTGCTTTTTTCTTTTTCATTTTAACACTTGTTTTTAAGATACTTACACAAAACAGAGTAGCTTGGGTACATTCCTTGCATGAGATAAAAGGACCCACAACTGAACACATACAGGTGAAAGCAGAAAGAGCTGAGGTCACCAGGCAACAAGGAAACAAGCCTTTGAAACACACATCTTAGTTTTCATTTAGGGATGTTAATTGTTGTGTCATATCAGCACTCCACATCAAAAAGTCAATAATAAAACAGTAAATACTCACAAAAGATGCAGTACAGCAGGCTTTTGAACAGTTACAAAAATGGAGAAAATTAGACTAGATATACATTATGGACATGGTAGAAAAAATGGCTCAAGGAGCACTGCACACTTTTGTTTCTCTTTTAATTACATACTGTTAATAACATATGCCTTTCTAGCTCCAAAATATATTTCACAGTGAAAATCAAACAAAGCACTGTTGCACTCAATCGATATTTACAGACACCTAGAAGCAAACCAGCTTTGGGTTTCTTCCATTCTGGAATGAAGAGACATTGCAGCCACAGTGAGAGATGGCTGCACACGCCTAACATTTCAGCTTACATTCAACATAAAGATTTCTGAGAGAGCAATTTGTGCGATGGCATCAGAACCTGGTTTAGATAACTCTGTACATTTGAAGAGTGATCTTTCCAGTAACAATGAAAAAGGCAGACTGACTAAGGGGAAAAAGGCCAGGCTGGATGTGGCTCTGGGCAGCCTGGTGGCTGGCGATCCTGCCCATGGCAGTGGGGTTGAAACTAGATGATCTTTGATGTCTTTTTCAACCCAGGACATTCTATGATTCTATGAACAGTTTTTGCAAGCATATCAATACTTTCAATAAAAAGAAATCATAGTAGAAGGGGTTGTTTGTATAATATATATATATTATATATTAGATATGTAGAGATATATTAGTTCTTCTCATAAATTCAGTGCTGGTGAAATGTACCAAGGACTTCAATTTGTCCAATGAACAGTAAACACAGGGATTGCAACGGCAGAAATTTCCTCTCCACTGCCCTCCAACTCTCCTTGCTCCAGAGCATAGCTCTGTAAGAGGCAAATCCAAGTCTTTGGGACTATTCAGTCCTTGGCCTCTCCTGCTGAGAATGCAAAAACAATAACAGCAGTAATACTGTGCTGAAGCCAAACTCCAAGCCAAATTGAAGTGGCTGTGTTCTAACAATAGCAATGTTTTTCTGTACTGATTCTAACATAGCTGAGGACCCAGTCTCCATTGTGCATGACTGAAAGGTGGTTTTGGTGTTGTGGACACATGCCCATAAGGCACTGGACTGCGATCCACCAACTCAAATTTCAGAGCACTGCAGAACAGGAAGGAAAACAGCAGAATCTAAAAGGAAGCTCAGAAAAAGCCTCCATCAAATAAAATAATATGAAACAAAGTCAAATAAAACTCAAAATGAAAATTATAAAATACACATTCTTACTCTGGACTGAAACGTGGAAAAATTCTCCAGCTAGAGACATTTCAGAGTTATTTCTTTTTTTTTTTTCCCCCAAAAAAGTTTTGAATTTATGAATGCTTGAAAATTAGCCACCAGCTATTCATGCAAAATACTTCTAGGGTGTTTTTCTTTTTAATAATATACTCACAATATTGTCAATGTAACTCTTAAGTGAAAGGCCGTACTACAGAAAATACGAAACTAAATATTATATGCTCATCTAATGTTAGATTATGCATTTCCCAAGTCCCAAATATTCATTTACCTGATAGATCCGACTTCGCCATTCTTCCTCTTCAGTGTCCTTCTGGCATGCAAAGAGTTCCTTGGAGAACTCTATCACATAGCTTTTAGCAGAATCTAATGGGACAGGAAACTCTGATCTGTCAGCTAAAATACTTCGGAGATTTTTTGCACATGGTCTGGAAGAGGGGGAATGATTCTGCTCTCAGAGCAGCAAGACTTGCAGAAAAGGTATTTGTACCATCTAATTCCCACTTAGGTGTAAGTAAAGCGATTTAAACTTTTTTACTGGTCCTCTGTGCCAGGGTAGATTGCATCTGACTGGAACACAAATGTCTTAAAGGAGTATGATCCTGTACTGACGTGAAGTCAATCTCAACACTTCTGCCTGTTTCAAATTATTTTTACATTCATTTACTCTGCTACAACCAAGAGCAGAATATGTCCCTTAAAGCACTATGTAAGAGTTAAGTATTATAATTAATACTTCTTTTGCAACTTTCTGACCTTTTTTTTCCTGTTAAAAAAATAAGGAAACTATTGTTATTCTTAGAAACCTGTACTTAAAATGACATTAAAACTTCATTTTTACCCAAACTAACAAAAACCAGTGAAATTAAAACTCCAGCACATAGTAACCATTCTCTTTTCCTTTTTTTTTTTCTTTTTTTTTTGTTTTTCCCATGATCAAGCTCCAAAGAACAAGCCTGAATTTTAAATTCCCTGGTTGCTATTAGTTCCAGTTCATACCTTCACATTTAAAATGTCATTTTCATTTTTTTTTAATATATGCACACACACACACGCACACACACACACATATATAGATATATATATCAGTTCATAAATCCAAAATGAAGAGAGAGCTAGTACGGTTATCAAAGCCTTTATGAGCTGTATAAAGACTCGTTAAGAATTGACATCATCAACATTTGACTGAAGTAGATGTGCACCAGTCGTGGCTTTAACTACAAGGCAAAGTTGGAAAGAATGTTTTAGGTTTTCAAAGAGAAACAGTAAGAACATCAATGTTAAAACAAATTATCCAAAGAGAGAGAAAAACGCCAGATGTGGGAAGTCATCCAAAGGCTTCATCCTTTCTTTCCACAGTGTTTCACTGTTCAGTTTGATTGCTCAGCAAAAGCAGACTTTTACCTTCCAGGATGATTGTGCCAGATCCCTCTCGTGCCTCTAGCAGAGAAGAACCAGGACACGCAGAAGTCAGCCAGGTTGCAAAGGCACCACGACGCGTGACAGTACTACACAAAAACATGCTGTGTTTGGACATGGATGCAAAAGGTTCACGGTTATCTGGAGGGAAACGCTGTCTTGGAACTGACTTTTGTTCTTAAGGTGGGAAGGAAAGGTTATTTTTATTATTCAAATAATTCAGTCAATCCATCAATCAACTCTCAGTCAACCATTGCCAAAAATATAGATATATCTCAACTACATGGCCCTTTTAGAAAACTCACAGCTTAGCTAGAACATAAAGCATTCTCAGAAGCATCCTTGGGTATGGAAAAAGTCAGCTGATCCCATCGGTCTTGCCTGGAGTTCCCCCATTGACTGATGACAGCTGTACAGCCTTACATTGGCACAGCAGTTCCTTTAAGCCCACTGAGTACATCTGACTGAATCCAACCACGAAGTTAATGTTCTGGTGTTCTTCCTGAACTGGCTGGTATGATTAACTCAAACATGTTAGCTCCACCCTAAGACTCAAAAAAGAAACATTGCGGAAATTCACATGCCAAAAGTCAGATGATGGGCTAAGATACCTTCGACTAGAAGAAAAAGAATGCAAATACAAAACTAAATGAAAATCGGTTTGAAAAATAACCATTATGTCCATTCATGAATTAGGATCAGTTTGGCAACCAAAGATCAAAACTGCACAGCAATCACTTGTTACTTTTGACTGACAACGGATTACTTGCAGATGCTCTGAAATGTATATCACTGAGCAAGTGGGCTTGGCCTGTTTTTATCTTTTAAATATTTTTCCATTAATGGCATCGAGTACAGTTGTGTATTTACACTGATTGTTAAAAAGATATGTATATACACTTCCTTCACTTTTTTCACCTCTACAAACATCAAGAATGTTCTGGAGGTAAGGAAAGGGAAAGGGAGAGGGAAGGGAGGTGAGGGGAAGGGAAGGGAGGTGAGGGGAAGGGAAGGGAGAAGGAAGGGAAGTGAGAGGGAAGGGGAAGGGAAGGGAAGTGAGG